AATTCTTCCCATAGTGGAGGCGGATTCCATTTTCGTTTTATGGCCGTGGAAAGGAACAGAGGTACCATTATATCACGGGAATATCTATACAATATAGATATACAGTTGAACATATTTTTAGAATTCCCTTTATAAAAATTAATTTCAAAACAAAAATCATAATTTTAAATCTATTTTTAAAAATTACTTTATTTTTTTGCATACATCGAACAATATATATATATATATATATATATATATATATATATATATATATATATATATATATATATATATATATATATATATATATATATATATGACTATAGCTTAACTAGCTACAGGTTATTGTTACAATTCTCCTTAATTGAAATAATTGATCTGTTATATGATTTCTATATGTATTTTCGCATCCATAGCTCGGACTTGCGTGAGTAGCGGTACAAGGCTGTTGGCGGAGAAAACACCCAAATTTATTATGTCCCCTGAATTCCCATCAAGTTATAATAGGTAATCTGTGAGCAATTTAGAAATTGTTGGAAAAAGAATATATAATATTCTTATCAAGCATTAAGAATTTTATTATTTTCAGTAATTTGAATTGTCTCTGGACTGTGGAACCAGCAGTCATTGAGAAGGATACCCGTTTAGTATTTGAGTTTCGGTCTCAATATCTAGAGATGGGGTTTGATGGCTGCGCCGATTTCGTGAGGATAAATGGTCTAATTGGTAAGGTGATATAAGTCTTTTTTTAAATGTCTGGTAAATGGTAATTATTACTAAATTACTCTTCTGGTACTTATTATCAGACATGACTATATCGAGTCAGCAACAAAATCTTTCAGTATTACACACACAATTTTGTTCCTTTCATTTCCAAATATCATCATATCATTCTAAAGTGATTTGCGCAGACAGGAGAAAAAAAGGCTTTTATTTAATGATAACATTTTTCTTCATAAGTAGACAGTATCGATAAATATATCGATAAGTATAAGTATCAATATCCTTTCAGCATCAAATGATTTGAATCGTGCGACCGACATTGTAACATTGGGACAATTATAAATTCCATGCTATTTTTTTTTTCTGTTAATATAGATTAGCCAGTTTCGTGAGAGTTGCGAAACATATGTCCTGAAGTTCCAATTCTTGACGACAATCGATACTGTACATATTCACCCTACTTGTGATTTACATGTAGTTAGTTCACTTTAATTTATGATTATGTCAACAAGATAACGATTACCAGCTTGAACGATTTGCTTTTTCATTAACATTCGAATTATTGTTTAGCCAGTATCTATATTTTAGTATTGGATAAGAGATGTTGAATTTCCTTTTTTTCATTTCAATATAGGTACCTTAAGTTTTTCCAAAATGTAAAGATATTTAAGCTTTTTGATTAAATTTCTTGGTTGATTGGTTGTATTGAGGACATAATTTTCTATCAACGATGAAATAAATCACTTCGCGATGTAATTCTTAACGTTTTGTTATAAATCTTCTCATAGAATCAAAACAATTACAATTTGCTCCTCTTATTGCTTTTTATAAAGTAAAAATATCTGAAGGCCTACATATTGGTTATTCTAAGTGAGTTTTAACTTCATATTTGAACATTTGTATTAAGATTCTTAGTAAATTGTGCACAAACATCTAGTTTTGAATACTGAGAAAAATTCTATAGCTACATTCATACCTATTTGACCTAAGAAATTTTTGATTTGAGTATGTCTTCATGAATCAATTTTTTTGAAGACTTCTGTGAGCAGACAGAAGACAGCATTTTACAGACATCTTCCCCCATGCCACTGAATAGCACGACAGTGAACGTGCGTTTCTTAAGTGACTATGGCTATGCTGGTAACGGATTTGTTTTGGCGTTTTTTGTTGAAAGTAAGTTTAAGGTTAGGACTGATCTTCAAAAAATCATTCAACTTCAAATATTAATATATTGCATAAAATTCATATACCTTCAGAGGATTTTTGGATACTGTGTTATTGCATTCCTGCCTCTTTCTCTCTTTTCATGTATTAAGTCATATCTACTATGAAGGTTACGAGTCTTAAGGCAGGACAGTTTGTTGAAGCTTAGATAGATAGTCTTTTAAACAAGTGTTGATCATGCAAACAAAATTTTTCATATATAAACTATTAATTACTAGTAACATATATTATACAACCATATTTTTCTTATGACCACCCAGTTTGTTAAAAGCTAGATTAATAAACCTTTAAACAAGTTTTGACCATGCAGCAAAAAAATTTCATATATTTATAATTACTAATAACATACGTATGTTTTTTTTCTTCTGAGTTATATGGTTCAAACAAAGATATTGTCACTTCAGAGGTTGGTGGCGCTCCTCAGACAAGTGAGGCTATACTCATGAGTTCCAAATACTCATCTAGTAAGGCTACATCTACGTTTAGCCAAGACTTGAGTTCTGTAATATCGACCAGAAGCACGTCTGAAAGTACTACCTCCATAATGGATATTGGTATCCAGACAAGTACTCACCTACGCGAAACATCTCGAGCCTCACCCAGTCATGAAACAAATAGTCCTCATGATTTATCAACAAGTATAAAAACACCAGGTAGTCTGAGTTCTAGTTCAACACTTGATTTTGAAATTCTACTACTGAATGGCCCTGTCATGATCAATAGTTGTATTGTAATGCCTCTCTGAGCATCAAAACTAAAACATTTCATTTCATAATTTTAATGAAAGAATATTTATTGAATTTTATTACTGAAGATTTCATAAGTTTTCATTACTCATAGGTACTTTTAGGCACCTGATCAAACCTTTGGAATTTCCGGGGGTCCGTATTTTATGCTCTGTTCACATATTTTTGTTGTTTGTATTATTTTTTTGGGGGGGGGGGGCGAGCACTGTTCGTTATCTTCACCTTTTTTATTCTTAAGGAATAGCGCACAGATTCAAGATCATTTCTTTGCTCAATTATTCGCCAGAAATTCTCAATGACCCAACGTTTGTTATCCCAGCAATATTTTAATGAATCTTTTGGCCATTGGTCGTGTGGATGGTATGGGACAGAAATAAAATTGTGCTGACGTGGAGGTCCTTATCTATAATCATTTACTTTTTCAAATGTCAAATTGATTTTCCTACTTCGTTGTTCTTGAGTAGAGGACATGCAATTTTATTTACTGAGTAATTTCAAATTGAAAATTACTGCTTTGGTCTACTTACTAAGATACATGTTCTTTTATTTAGTTTTGACAATGTTTTTGTTGCAGGTGATACCTCAAGACGACCTCTCACTTAAATGCAAGGAAGACATTTTATAAAAAAATAACTACGCTATCTATTTATCAGAGGTGCTTGAGGACAGGACCCCCCCTCCCCCCATTAAGACCACCGGACCTTTTCGAATACAGTATAAGTAGAAATTGTATCGAGACGCAAATTTAGCGAATAATCCCCAAAAATTGGTAATATATTTTTAGCGATAAGTAATTTTAGCGATTTTATAATTTCAAGAGAGAAAGCTATAACAACATATACAGAATAAATTTTACCGATATTCAGTTTTAACGATCTCAGAACCCTCGCTTATTATGCCAAAATTGAAATCTTGCTTAAAATTTTGTTTATACGGTATTTTCTCCTAATTTTTTTTATGAATGACATAAATTTAATAAAATGATTTTTCTTAGGTAATTTTTCGAACTGTTGGTATAGATTTTATCACAAATAAAATATTCATAGAAAGTTTATTTTTAAGAAAAAAAAAATCGAAATGGCCCTGTGGTCTATAGCGTGGGTGGGGGTGGGGATGGGGGGAGGGGTCCTGTCCTCAAGCACCTGTGGCCCCACCATGAAAAAAAAATCACCAACAAAAACATTATAGTATATCATGATATATCATTATATTCCATGAGAGGCATAAGAAATTTCTATATATTTTCTTAGGAATGTGAATAGACACATTAATGTACAGAATTTTCTTGTTTAAAATTGGTCAATGAATACAAGACAAAGATGATAAGTATCAATATATTTCACAGTTGCGTATCAATGTATTTCAAAAATGCAAAGTAACGTATCAATGCATTTCACAAAGTTACATACAGTATCAATGTATTTCACAAAAGCACGTATCAATGTATTTCATAAAGTTACGTATCAATGTATTTCAGAGTTACATGTATGGATGTCTAATACCCTGAAACATGATAAGGAATTATTTTTTCCAACATTCTACATTTTTTTATCAACCAAGAACTAAAATATTTTAAGGTCAAAAACACTCTTATTTCATTCATGTTAACCTTTGAACAAATCTATTTAATATATTTATTTTTCTGTAACAATAGATATTGCTTTAATTTCTATTGCATTAAAACTTCGACGAAAACCTGTATAGAAAGAATATTATTGAATAAATGAATGCCTTTATACACTGTGGAAAGTAGTTAATATTATAATATTATAATGATAAAGATTATATTAAACGTTATGCTTTTGTTTTCACGACAGTTTCACCTGTACATTCTTGTAATGGGGTTGATGAAATAATCCTTCAGCCTTATATGGGGAGAGAGGTTGCATATCCAGACAATTACCCGGTGAATACAGGATATGAAGCGTAAGAACACATCAATATGTTTACAAGCTAAAACGTTACATACCGACACTTTTTCTGTTCTTTTTCGGAATACCTTCAAAGTTATAAACAATGACATATAATTAATTGTTGATTTTAGAACTAAAAACTGTTCCTGGAAAGTCACTGCTGCACAGGGATATGACATCGTGGTTTATCCGAGATGGGAGTGCAACTCTTATGTAACTATCAGTCTATATTATGGTATGTGCGCAACTCCCCTTCCCATTTTTTCTCTCTGTCACACACACATACAAATTCTGATTTCATTTTTAACGACAATATTCAATTAAATCATTCAAAATTCGATGTAATATTTCACATGATATGCAATTTTGGTTTTTTTAAATTATGCAATGTAAATGCGAATGAAAATAAACAATGGGTATAAACCAAACACTATTTTTTTGAGAAAACAAAGTGTTGAAACAATAAGTACCTATTATTTTGTTCTTCCATTTTAAAGAAAATTCAAACCCCATTTTCTTGTTTTTTTGTTTTTTTTTGTAGCAGATATAAACTGGATGCTGTCATATGGCAGTAATAACCAGCTGTCATAAGACAGTGATACCCACACATAAGTGTTTGTCTCGTGTCGCAGTAAGTGCCGGCATGAAAAAGGTTCCCTCACTGCTTTTAAAATGGCCCTGAGTGCCGAGTTTAGGTCTAAAATTTGCAGCCTTCCTCGGCAAGTCGTGGCGTCTCAATGGTGAAAAATTCTCGAAAGGGGCGTTAAACAAACAAATAATCAAACAAATGTATCATTACAATTTTTTTAGTAAATGGTATTATAACAATAACAATATCATACTTTATCGCAAAAGAAAAATATATCAAATGAATGACCTTAACATGAAGATGCATGCATGTAAATCCGTCTTCTCACCATATCAGAAAATCCATTTTTCTAAATAAATAGTATTATGATTTCTTGATTATTTCCAAATATAAAGACAGGTAATCAATTAAATTAGATTTTCAAAGTTTGTACAAAAGGCTCAGGTATTCCTCAACTTTGAAATGAAGTAAGTTCACATTCTTCATTAACCCCAACTTAATTTTAAGGTTGCATGTAATCCAAAATCACTCTTAAAATTCCCAGACATTGAGTTCTGAACAAAAACCCAACATTTCTTCAACAGAATGGTGTCTGTATACCTACAAGTGGTAGTCATCTTCCCCACTCCTTTGAATGGCTGATACTAATAAAGGGGAAATATTGTTTTATATATGTATGCATATTAATTTGACTTTTTACACACAAAATGAGGCTGGGATACTCTTTTCATTCTGTAAGTATAGGACAAAGAATTTTTTGCACCGGTCAAACCCTGGTGATAAATATTGCTTGGTCTCTAAGTCTCTCATAAATAAGCAAATCCACCAATTTGTTTTAAAAAGTAACAAGTTCTCTATCAGATGTATAAATTGTCACTGTTTCGTTTTCATAGACTGCAGTATATTTTTTTTGAAAAATAATTTTTAAAAAAGTATAGAAACATCATTTAGTAGACTTTTTAAAACAATCAGTTTTTAAAATTTGAAGGTGCAACATCCTCAGCACAGAAGGACAGCTGTGTCGCTTGTCCCAATGATAACGGATATTGTATCGACATAATACAAACTAGATCATCAGAGGTCCTCCTCTCTCTGGTGACAAATTCTTCCCATAGTGATGGCGGATTCCAGTTTCGTTTTATGGCTGTGGAAAGGAACATAGGTACCCATTATATCTATACGACATAGATATACAGTTGAATATATTTTTGAAAATGTCTTTAAAATTTTCCTACTTTAAATAATTTCAAGACCAAAATCGTAATTTTAAATCAATTATATATATATATATATATATATATATATATATATATATATATATATATATATATATATATATATATATATATATATATATATACGCCTAGCTAAATGATATTGTTACAATTCTCCTGAAGAAGAATTGAAATAATTGATCTGTTATATGATTGCTCTATGTACTATATTGCTATATGTGCTGTACAAAATTAAAATTCATTTTCACAGCATCTACTTGCATGAGTAACGGTACAAGGCTGTTCGCGGACAAAACACCCAAATTTATTATGTCCCCTAGATTCCCATCCAATTATTATAGGTAATCTGAGAACGAACAGTTCAGAAATTGTTGCAAATAAAATATATCATATACTTATCAAACATTTAAAATTTTATTATTTTCAGTAATTTGAATTGTCTCTGGACTGTGGAACCAGCAGTCATTGAGAAGGATACCCGTTTAGTATTTGAATTTCGGTCACAATATCTAGAGATGGGGTTTGATGGCTGCTCCGATTTTGTGAGGATAGATGGTTTAAATGGTAAGTAATATTTTTTAATATTTTTAACTTGAAAATTATTCCTCTGGTTCTTATCAAGCACGGCTATAGTGAGTCGGAAAAAAAGTTGCATTATTTACCAAGTATTACATACAACTTTGTTCATTTGAGAACGCTTACTTTTCCAAATTCCATATCATTCTAATGTGATTCGCGCAGACTAAAAATGTTTTTATTTAAAGATAACTGTTTTTTTTTCATTCGTATTAAGTATCGATAAGTATATCGATAAGTATCTATATCCCTTCCGCATCAAATGAATCGAATCGTACGACGGAAATTGTAACATTGGGGACAATTATAAATCCTTTGCTATTCGTTTCGTTAATATGGATTAATTAGTATCCTTTACATTTAATGTTGTTTCTAAGAGTTTCCCAACACATGCCCACCATATAATTTTCCTGAAGTTCGAGTTCCTGACGACAATCAATACTGTATATATTCACCCTACTTCTGCTTAACGTTTGTTAGTTCACGGTTATTGACGATCGTGTTAACTAGATAAAAGTTACTAACATGAACAGTCGCTCGCGTGGCGCAGTGGTAGAGTGTCTGCTCTAGAGTCGCAGAGTAAGGAGTTGATCCTTCGAATCCGACTGTGGGATGTGGATACCGGTCCTTCGGATGAGACCGTATAAACCGAGGTCCCGTGTCGCAGTAGGTGCTGGCACGAAAAAGATTCCTCACAGCTCAATGGCCCTGAGTGCCGAGCATAGGTCATAAATTTGCAGCTCTCCACCGGCAAGTGGTGGCGTTCCATATGAGTGAAAAATTCTCGAGAGAAACGTTAAACAACACTCAAACAAACGAAGAAAAAAAACAACGTGAACAATTTTCTTTCCTATTTTGATTTAATCTTAGCTAGTTAACGATAAATGTATTGATATTGTTTAACTTATATCGTATATTAATACCATTCGAATTATAGTTTAGTAAATATCCACATTTTAATATTCGATAAGAAATTTGGAATTTCCTTTTTTTCTTTTCACTACAAGTACTTAATGTTTTACTAACAAAAAATATAATGATATTTAAGCTTTTTGATTAAATCGGTTGCTTAATCGGTTGTATTAAGGACATCATTTTCTATCAACGAATGAAGTAAATCACATAGCGATGTAATTTGTTATGTTTTGTTATACATCTTCTTATAGAATGAAAACAATTACAATTAGCTCCTCTTATTGCTTTTTAAAAACTTAAGGATGGATTCTTCTCATATTTCTTATAATGGCAGAATCTTGATTTTCTGAACACTCAATATTCAGACTGTTTACACTATTTTAACATCCAAAAACTTTGGTGTCATCGGCCTTGATTTTCAGTCAAGGTCATTTGAAAGTCAGACCTAAAAATAGTACTTTTACACAGAGAAGTTTTGAAATTTATGCATATGAATAAATTTTGCTGACTGAAAAAATATCTTTCACCATAAAATTAAAGTTGTTACTTATTTTTGATGACTAATTCATATGAAATGAGCTGGTGAAAAGATAACATGAAATCCTTTATATTCAATAAATACATTTAATCCGAATTTTCTCGATATTTTTTCAAAATTCTCAGTTTTCATGAATTGACATGAAATTTCATCTCAATTTTTACAATTGACCATATAATGTCAAATATTTAGATTTTTGTCTGATGAATATTCAAAGGTTCAAGATTAATTTACAAGGTAAAAAAGATATAGTAATCAGGCAAATTATTGAAAAAAAAATTAGCCCGAATTTGCTCTATACTTTATGAAATCTTCAATTTACAGAGTGTTTTAAATGTCTATAAGAAAGATTTTTAATCCCCCAAAATATATCAATTTGGTGTAATTGTGACATAAATACATTCATTTCTACCAGTTATACATTCTATTTTTATGGTATTTTACACTAATGATATTCAAAATATTCATTTCGAATTTCCTCTGTCATTTTATTCTTATGAATGTTATGTTTGACAATTTTATAAAATACATCAATTTTCTAGTGGCAATTACAAAAAAATTATCACATACATTCTTCACATGCACAGGTCAAATTCAAAGCAACTTAGCCTTCAATATAACTAGGAATAAATAATAAACCTTCCAAAAAGTTATGAGAAAAATCATACATAAAATTTTCATAGACTAGAAAAGATTTCAATATATTATTTATGACATAAACATGAAATCAATATACATGTATAGTGAACATGCCATTCAATGCTTAATATATGAATATCAGAGGGACTAATATATATGCCTATACATGTATATGTAGTTATATACATATAAGTCCCTGGTATTATGTTATTATTGGATATTTTACATTTGTAAACTGAGTTTTGAAAACAACAAGCAAATTCAAAGAATGGTGGTCCCCCGCTTTCGATGTCTTAGTGGATGGGAGACCATTATTTATGGCATATTGTAACTGTCTTGTTTGTTTGTCCTGTCTTATCTGTGCATCATACAAAAAGACATAAATTATTGAATTAATAACAGTTATGGCAAAGACTTCAAAATCAAGGTCATGAGGTCAAATATCATAATAAAACCCAAAAGATCTTCTCACAAGTGATGCACATGTAAAAAAAAAAATATCAGAAACCAGAGTATACAATCAGAAAGGTCTTGAAACAGGTAATGCACATGTCAAATGTAAATACGTACCATATCTTCTCTCAATCAAACGTTATTAGCAATGATAAACTTTAAAAATTAGGTCAAACTTCAAGGTCAAGGGATTAAAAATCATAGTACATTTGGAAATGCTTGTCACAGGTAATGCACTTGTCAAATATGAATGCCCTATCTTTGCTCCTTCAAAAGTTAGCAAACTGATGAAATGTTTGAATATTAGGTCAAACTGGAAGGTCAAGGTCCCAGGGTCAAATATCATAGCATATTCAGAAACATTTTGACACAGGTAATGCACTTGTCAAATATGAACACCATATCATATGTCATTCAAAAGTAATCACCAAATACAATTTTTTTTTGAAATTTAGGTCAAACATGAAGGGTCGCCCGCGTGGCGCAGTGGTAAGAGCGTCTGCTCTAGAGTCGCGAAGTAAGGAGTCGATCCTTATGTCGCGGGTTCGAATCCTACTGTGGGACGTGGTGACCGGTCCTTCAGATGAGACCGTATAAACCAAGGTCCCGTGTCGCAGTAGATGCTGGCACGAAAAAGATCCCTCACTGCTCAATGGCCGTAAGTGCCGATCATAGGACAAAATTTGCAGCTCTCCACCAGCAAGTGGTGGCGTCTCCATATGAGTGAAAAATTCTCGAGAGGGGCGTTAAACAACATACAAACAAACAAACAAACATGAAGGTCAAGGTAAAAGGGTAAAAAATTATAGCATGCTCGGAAACACTTTGTCACTACTAATGCACATGTCAAATATGAAAGCCCTAACTATTCTAAATCAAAAGTTATAAGCAAAGATAAAAAATTTGAAAGTAGGTCAAACTTCAAGGTAATGGTCATGGGGTCAAAAATCATAGTACATTTGGAAAGGTATTCTTACAGGTAATGTTCATATTTAATATGAGAGCCCTATCTTTTCTCATTTAAATTTAATGACCAATTTAAGGTATTGTTAATTTTTTTGAAAAGTAGGTCAAACTTCAAGGCAAAGCCAAGGGATCAAAATTCACAGTATATTTGGAAAGGTCTTGTTACAGGTAATATACATGTGAAATACAAAAGCCCAATCTCTTCTCACTCAAAATTTATGGCCAAGGTTAAAGTTTTTGTGACAGGCAGACTGACAGACAAATGAGATTTAATGTCCCCTCTCTTTCGTGAAAGCGAGGGACAATAAATACCTACACACATTTATAAGTATATAGTTTGTTCAGCACCAATAAATATAACTCCTCAATGTGATCATATATTGCATAAAATTTGCTGGAGTTTTAAGATAACAAAAAAGCCATCTATGACAATCAAATGCCCTTTGCCATCTTTGCCTGAATATGACATCCTTGAACTTTGTAACAATAATATGCATGCAGCTATCAAACTTCACATTTAATACTTATTCAAGGATGACATTTCTTTTTGAGAATTTGTAGCACAAACACTTATTGATCAGTGTCAATAACATGTATTGAAATTGAATTAAAAATTACCTCTTGAGGGTTTCTACTGCAAGTACATGTATATGTAGTTCATTTGTAAAAATCTAAATTTTAACCCGGCCACTACCACCAATTTTGTTCGGCATGTTCTTGCTTAAAATCACCCTTTAACTAAATGATCTAAAGCAGGCACATTTTTATGTATTCCAGAACTGTATTTTAAGATTTTAACTGTATTTGAAAATGTAAAGCAACTGAATACATAGAGCTAGGTATATATCATTTACAAGTTGTTGTAATGCCAGTACATGTAAATCTTCACAATGTAATCTAATGAAAGATAATGCTTGAAAAATTCACTCTGGGAGTAAGATTTCAAATCTGAATCAAAGATTTTGTAAAGTAATCACATTCTACAAAGCGTGCACTGTATCGGGTGCTTTGGAATCAAATCATTAAACATTACATAATTATAAATAAAACTATTTTTGACTAAAAGTTTCTGAAAAAAATCAAGAATGGAATCATGCAACAAGCAGCAGTGACTTTGATAACATGTATTGACTTCCACATTTCTAGAAAAACATTTCTTTGATCAGATAAATATGTAATTCCTGCTTCTGACATGATATATTCTGAGAAAATCTCTTTTCCACAGACAGCCATCATTCATTTGATGTGAGAATTTCTTGCTGAACATGTGTCCACCTGGTGAAAGTCCAAATTTTTTGTTGACCTATAATTTAAAAAAAAATAATATATTTTACATAGCAGCACAGATGCTGCATTATATGATAGTTAGATAAAGTTGTGTCCATATTTCTTATACATGTACCTTAATAGTCCATCTGCCAGCACTCCTTGCTCAATCATCCTGCATTCTGACCTCCAGTCTTTTTTTCTAGTCTAG